TATTTTCGAATATTTTGAATTCCAATCCCACAAAAATGAAAATTATATTAATGTTCACTTAAATTAACATTTAAAAATATATTTACATTTATTTTGTAAATATTTTCTGGTGCTTTGTAGATTTTTTTAGCAATCAACTTGTTATCATTGTGACACAAAAGTGAGGTTATGTTAACCATTTTATTTTTCTAAATTAATATTTTTCAATATTGAAAACAATGAATTTCACAAAATTACAAAAAAAACTAATTTCCATTAAAAAACGTTTTAAAATTTATTTATTGTTACTTTTTTAAATTATTTTTCTGTACTTTTCAAACTTTTTAAGTAAATTTTTGTTATTGTAAATATGCGAGCGCCATCTGTTAGATGCAAAACAACACATTTGGGACAGATAAGTTCGATTTAATGCAATCAGGGAGCGCGTCAGTGTTTTCGGTAACAGATAGACCACCGCTGTGTTTATTTTACATTATCTTTTTTTCTATGCATGTATTAAACTCATATTGCGCCAATATACTTATAGTTGCCTTCGCTTCAGGGCGCGAATTTTTTGAGCGAAAACTCCAAAATTTTGTTTGGGAGGTACCCCTAATATGTTATTGTTAATTTTTCTTCCAAAAGTGATATTTATTGTATACCGAATAGAAAACCGAAGATGACGTTAGTTTTGCGATACAAATAACTTTCAACACACTTTTCATACAAAAAATTCAAAAAAATTGAAATTATGTATGGAAGCCATGCCTGTATGATATCGTAATGAGATGAAACTTTGCACAGGTTATTTTTATCATACAAAAATACCATTTTTTCAAACTTCCAGAATGTCGGCCTTTTGTGAAAAAATACCCTGTGCCAAGTTTCACGTCGTTACGATATCATACAAGGATTGATTCCATCCTAAAATTCCCATTTTAAGTAATTTTTGTATAAAAAGTGTATCAAAAATTATGTGTATCGCTAAACTAATGTGAGATTAAGTTTTTTGTGAGTTTAAATTTAAGTAAAAGATATGTAATAAATGCATGCTGTGGATCACTGTGTGGAAAAGTTCATCTTACGTATCTAAGACATTTTATTTACCGATATGTTTGATAGATTCGGAGAAAAAACAACATCATATGAAAATGTATTTCTTTTTTTTTTAAATTGGTGAAATAAAATGTCGTATAGAATAGATTGGAGGAACAAAATGTTAAATACACGTTTCATAAAACGTGAGCAACTCTTTTATTACACGCTGAGAACAATTCAAGTCACGTGTAGTTTGGTATATAATATATATTGAATTTCATCGAAAAGGGAATAAAATGTGACCGAACTCAATCTATCGATAGATTCGGTGTGATTGTTGAACGCACCTGTTCATTATTATTTGAATGCAAAAAGAAACTATTGAATCTCGAAAAAGTCGTCTTTTACTTCTCCTTAACGCTTTTAATATCAAGCAACTCCTTTTAAATATTCAATCCGATTCAAGCAAAGATATGAAAAATAATAAAGTAGTGTGAAAGCACATAAATATGCCAAAGTATGGATTAAATGAAATATGAAGATGAAGAAAAAAAGTGAATCAATAATATATACACTACCACTTCTTACTTCTCAATGGGCAGATGCATACATAAAACATGAAAGCATGAATTGAAGCACAAAAAAATGCACGGAAAGGCGAAAGATTACAATGTCGACTTCTCAACAAATAAATATTAAGATGAGATACATAACAACAAAAAAAGCTTAATCTAAAGTGTGTCAAGTTCAAGCTTTAGGCAGTGAAGAAAGCATTCAATTTGACCATGGATAAAATAGCTGCAATTGCGGATCTACTATGTCGTTCAGTGCCTCGTAAAACACACACTAAAAATGATTTTATTTGTATTCTTTGTTGTGTGACATTTGCACCCTGCCGCTCTGTCTCTTTCTTTTTTTATCTCTGCATACTGCATTCATATTTATCCAGCCGTGCCGATTTGAAGAAAAATTGAAAAATCAGTCGGATTATATATGCATGAATGTGTATATGTCATGCATTTAATATGGGTAATGCTCGACATTTTTTTTAGTTATACAATACATACAACCAAAAGTCTGTTGATTTTTTTCATTTTTCCAGATTTTCTGTCATATGTGGATTTTTGATGTTCAGAATACAATGAAAACATATATCTATTGTACAATCATAATATCAGTTGAATCGCATTTTCCGTCAGTTTGCTCTATTCTTTTTATTGTTCAAAGTCTATTACTTCATATCGCTGGCGGAAGTTGTGTCATCGCCTGGCCAATCAATCTCTCAACAAGAATATTATCCCCATTATTGTACATTCTTCATCATATTCTTTGCAACATCTTCTTTTCGCGCTTTAAAAACCCCACTTTTCAAAGCTTTACTTCTTAACTCGAATAAAGTGTAATAAATGCTCAAAAGAAGGAAGGACTTAAGGATGAATTTGCTGAATTTGTGCAAAACGATGCATTGCTATGTATGTTAACAACAACAACAACAAGAAGAAGAACAAAAATTGTGCTCTCAGTACTTTTTCGAGAACAACCACTGGTAATATGCATACTTGAGTTGTCGATTGAAGAGCCCACTCAAAGCATACACACACACACACACTCGTATATGCCATACATATGCAAGGGTTTTTTAGGAGTCAGCGTATTAAAACCAGGAATAATATAAAGATTTCTTCGACGATAAAAGATTTTCAAAGTAAAATGGTGCATTGATAAACTTGGCTTAAGTGCACATCAATTGAATATTTGCATTTGACTTCCTTTGTTCCACGTTGCATGTAGCATGCGCAACCAAAGTGATAAGATTTTTTTTAGTCACACTTACTCGTCACATCTAATCCATTACATTGTGGACATTGCTGTTGTACAGTTGCGTTTGCCTGAAAAAAAAAAAAACAATTTTCTGAATGGAATAATAAAAATAATCGAATTTCATCCGTTTATTTACGAGAGTTGGCGGCCAACACAAGAATCCATCAAATGTGAAATTACAATATAAACCTGAAAATAAATATGCCAAAAAACAAAGAAAAGAAGAATTCAGATCATTTTTGTAATATTTAATTTATTTGAAATTCAGAGGGAAACCGAGACTTATGCATACTAATTGAATCGATCCCAATTGAATAAATCGAACATGGATCCAAGTTTATAAATAAATAAACAACATGATACTATGATTATGTCAAGTCGAATAAACGTCACCAACAGCTATATTATTTGTTGACACTATACAAAAAAAGAGAAAGGATCAAGAAACGCTCCTTGGGATTTTTTCTTTTTTCGTTTGAATTAATCGAGTTCGATATCAATTCATACGAAATGGTAAGCCGTAGAGTAGCGAAAGTGCATCCTAGTGTGAAACCAGCATAATTATTTTTCGAAAAAAAATTGTATCTTTCTACGAATGTTTGTCATATTCGTACCGTTCAAGTCATCGTAAAAATAATCCAATGTGGGAAAAAATGGAAGAAATATTGAGTATACAAGTAGATAATTAACAACTTGAATATTTTAAATCAAAACATTGACATGATTCCCATGTTTTTAGGACATTGGCATATTTCAACTAATAGTATACTGGAATTCATTGAAATTAAATCAGAAAATTCAACAAAACAAGGTACTGCTACATATAATTGAATAAAAATGTGACTTTGTTTTTGAGAAATAAACAATTTTCGGTTATTTAATAGTTGGATTTTTGATAAAACACATTTTTGATTGAATGAGATGCAATGAAATGTTTGTATTAATACTACAGCATATACTTTTATGTGATCTAAATCATATTTGCTGCTCATCAAGAGTGACAGTAATTCAAACCTCGTATAGATTGTGTGATTGTCGTTGCGGTCAATTATAATGAGCCACAGATTCATGAATTTTTTAAGCGGTTGATTCACATGGACATATCTTTGTCGACCCGATGGGGGTGACTTGATTGAGTAGTAAATGGAGCGATTACTTAATAATTCACCAAGCAAGCTGAAAAATGCTTCATATTGTGACCACTGTACACATAGAAATAAGCGGCGGTATGCATATTCATTTTAACCGCTTTTTTATATTGAATGTTTTTTGAGCCTCAAGTCAGCTATTGAACTCAATTCTTAAAATATATGTATAGTAATCGATAATAATTGTTTTGCAAAATATTCATTACTGTTACTGTTTGAATGAGTTCAACGGTCTTTAGTTGTGTTTAATATAAAATTTATGATGTGAAGTATTTGCGTGAAATTTTTCGTGGAAAACACGATTTCTGCACTATTTTTCCAGACACCAGTCGCATATATATTAACTAGTATATTAATGTGATAAACACACTTGAAATAGCAATGTGAGCCCATATAAATCGTTTTTAGAATTTTCTTTTTCTCTCATTGATGAATGAATGATGAGTTGTGAACGCCGACTGATGTGGCGTATATACATATAAGTACATTCAAGATTAGGCTTGTCGGAGAAGCCTTCAATTCTCTAAGATCTTTTTGATGGTTTTTCTCGCTTTCTCTCTACAGTAAAAAAATCTTAAGCCTTTGAAAAATGTTTCAAACAAATGTCATTCAAATTATGGCATTGGACAAAAAAGGTCTTAGAGAGGAACAAAATCCGACAGGCCTACTTACAAGTCACAGAAGGCCAGAAAAAGACAATAAACAAGTCGTACTTGGTGTTGTCTGGTTGATGTACGACTTCTGAGCTATATTGATTTCGATATTTGCATATTAATACAAATATTGCTGCAACATCAACATCAAATAAATTATTCATTGACTTCGGCTTGTAGAATTTATTCTATACTAATCGATTGGTGTGGTTTTCTGCTCCAATTTCACTAAGTTAAGAAAAGAAGTGTCCCTTTTACACACTTTCAGCTTAAAAAAAACTGTATACATATATGATTGAATGAGTCCATCAATCTATCAGATAGACACATAACATCCTGTTCGCTATCCGCTCTCTAAATCAAGCAAAGCTTATACTGAGTGAAGTATACTTTTACAATGCTAACAAACGGATTTTTTTTACTTACCTGATATTGATGGAATTTTATCTTCGAAAAGAGCAGCACATATTTCTGACGTTGCATTGACCAACGAATAGTGAGTGAATTCAGTGGCATTTGTTATCGTTGAAATTGTAACTGTTGACACCATTTCGATAATTCATTACCTTGCCAGTAAATTCTTTTATTTTGATTTTTACAACTTTTGAACTGTGCTCCAATTTGTGCGCATCTAACAACATGAATCTAATATGGTATCAAGTTCATTTTCTTGGCATTTTCTGTGGTAGTGTGAAATTCATTTAGAGCACATAACCAACAAAATGTTGACAAGTGACAACGATAACGTGTGATTTGTGTATCGTATTTCAAATCAATTACAAAAAAATACACTTCACGATTCAGCTCCAAATAGATTGTGTTAGCTCAATACATTATATTTTTTGTGTGATGGTACTTTCACCATGAGTGAAACAAATAAACAAAATATTACACCATTAGTTGAGAATGCTTTCTAATTTTGTTCAAAATGAATGAACACTTCGAAACTTTATTGCGGAACTCGAGATTTTCGATGGATTTACAATATGCTCAACCACGATTCGATTATATTCTAGGGGGTTCCGACTTATACGAATGTTCCATATGCGAGCGAGTTTTTCCTATATATTTTGCAAATGGAAACGAATGGTCGCAAATGTTTCATACAAATTTTGCGAATGGTGGCGGATGTTTCATACAAATTTGCGGACGGTGTCGAATGTTTCATACACATTTTGCGGATGGCGCATATGAAAAGTCATATTTTTACATTCAAAAAGTCAAAGTGACAGATTGGGTGACAGAGATTCAAGCTGAATTATTTAGCTGATATTTTTTTGGTAATATTGAGTGAAATTTTTCAAAAATGGTAAATATAATCACTGTAAACGGTGCCTTGTGAAAAGTTTTTATTTTCATTGACGTAACTTTCAATTTCTTTTATATTATCTGAATTTATTTCGAATCGAATACGGCTTCTAAAATAATATTCAACAAATAATCTTGTATTTTTTTCTTCAACTGTTTTTCAAATTTAGTTGAGAACAATGACATTGTGTTTGAAACTGCCACGACAAACTGAACACAGCAATGTGTATGTTATGTTGTACACGATAGTTTGTCGCATCTAGCAAGACGTATGCGGCATTTGCGAATGGTTGCGAATAAAATGTACGAATTTTCATAGATGTTGATGCGGATGAATATACTTTACTTCGTATATTTCATGTATGAATAGGAAAATGGCATTCGCATATAGTAAAATGCCCCTAGATTATATTACACAGTTCAGTTAGATCCAAAATTTTCATATTATCTGCGGTTTCACTGTTTGACTTGTTCGATGGCAATAAATCAGGTCACTTGTTAAACACGTGTCAATTTGCTCCCCGTTGGTTATAACCACGCATTATGCAATGTAACAATTCATTCATCTGCAAAAAAGACAAAAAGAAAAAAATTGATTGAAATGCGCAAGAACTTTCAAAAGCTTAGTTTCTAGTGCTATTTCATTTCACTGCCAAGTTTCATTTGCAGACATTCATTAATACCTGATGGCAACATTTTCAAAAACACTTTTACCGACTTTCATATTAATTTAAGCAACCACTGAGTGGACTTCAAAACGAAATCAACACATAACACACAACAAACGCATTTTTTCTCGCATTGCCGATCCATGGGAAGAATTCATTGTTATTATGCGCGATTCAAAAAAATCATAGGAAACATATGTAGTATTTACAGTGTTACTAAAGTAGTACTGATTGACTTGCAGAATTAGAGAAACACAGTGGCAATGGAATTTATAGGTATACAAGAACCATGCTTAAAAAAATCAATTTCCAGGAAAAATGAACTATGTTGGCTTTATTTAATTAGCTGTGGAGTTTTTTCTTTCAAAATCTAAACCTCTTCAACCGGCCAGGTTGTTAAATGTATTCACATCACTTACAGTATGAGTAATTGAATAGAAGGAAAAAAAAACAATTTTCTGAATGGAATAAAAATACTGGAATTTCATCCGTATATTTTCCTCAAATCCAAATCCATACGGATTTTGGCGAGCACGTTTCAAACGCACCGCTTGCAAAAGCATTAAATGGAAAATTCATTTGATTTACATTTTCAATGAGATGAAATTGTACTTGCATATCGTGAATTGCAAAATGCATTCATATACGCATTGGGCGTTGATATTCGATATTGTTTGGGCGCGCTCGCAGAGACTATTTATTCTTCTGGGCGAGAACGAGAAGAATAGGCTCTAGGTAAAACACGTGACATTAAATGAATTGTGTATGGGAACAACCTAAGCTGATTGCGCATTTTTTTGGATGGAAATTTATGCAAATTGTCCTAGGTTGGCTTGGCTCGATTGTGCGGTGCATTCACTTTAATTATTCTCGACATGGACATGTGATAAGATTTTTTGGCGTAATAGAATAAAAAAATGAAACGAAACAAAACGAATTTCGTGAATCAATTGAAAGTATATGCCAATGTGCGTGTACAGTATACGCGAACAACAACATCAACACATTGAATAAAAAAAATGAGGATAAGAAATGGTGCTCCGTTTAAATGTGATGACATTTTTATCAGCGATTTGAAATGCGAGGACACAAGAAGCTATAGCTATCCTATATACAGGGCATTATATTCAGCACGAAGACGAAAATGGCATTGACAACGATTTTTTTTTTTGTATCAAGGGCGGAAAAACAACAACGATGCAATTAAGAGAAGATTATGAGATTCAGAGTATACTAAGGGCAAATTAAAACGATACGAACCATTTACGAATGAACTTAAAAACAGATCAAACCGCTTCAAAGAAATCATCTCCCCCTTTTTATCTGTCTCAATTTCTATCACATATTATCAGCAAGCACAGTGGCATAATTACAATGAGCGCACACATTTTGTTATATTTTTACAAGAGTCAGCGGAACACAGAACGTAACCGAAACCGGATTGACTTTTAGAATAGCGATACAAAAGCGAAAATCGACCGCCAGTACCAGAGATGACAGTGGAAAAAAGATGAAGGGAAAATGAAATGTAGATGCGATGTTTGTAATGTAGTAAGAAAGACTACTGCCGTTATTATTAAAAGTCTAACAATGAACGAGTACAAGTGTGCATTCAACATCGCTTTCACTCTTCACATTTACCGTACTTACATTGGCATTCATTGTGACGATTATGACTTCGATTCAATGTTAAAGTCATGTTACTTGATATCCACTGCATGACCATTGAACTTTTTGCGTTTCTGATTCTAAAGTTGGTTACGTTATTATTCGAGAAATCAGCTATTCGAGAAATTGACTTATTCGAGAAATCAGCTATTCACTATCAAAAGAAACAATTTTTATTGTATATTTCAATGCGCTGAAATTGTGTATGCTCTTTTCAAAGTTTCAAGATAAAAGAACATTCTAAAAATGTTGTGTTCTCACGCAAAGTATACTTAGTGACAGTTGTTTGTAGAACATGGATGGCGCCATAATCAAATCCCAAAAACCTTTTATATACATTTCTGAAAATTGGGATGTATATTCGAATGTCCGCACATGTGAAAGTCGAAACTTGGGACTAGGTTTAAATAATTGTACCAAAAATGTACTTAATTGTACCGCAATTTATTTTTAATTGTACCTTACTCGTTTGGCTAATATTTGAGGTTCAAATTTCGGGGCACTTCAATTTGCCGGTCAACTAGCCAAAATAAAACTCAAAGATATTTTTAAAAATTTTATGGCTGATAATAATTGTACCTAAAATGTACCTTCAAAATAACATCATCATAAAGTCATTACTTCGATGGTGTTCTTCTGCAGAGCATGTCCTTCAAAATTCACGGGGGATTTCCCGAAAAAATGGCAAAAATGAAAATCAACGATATTTTTTCAAATTTTATGGCTGATAATAATTGTACCAAAAATGTACTTAATAGTACCGCAATTTATTTTTAATTGTACCTTACTCGTTTGGATAATATTTGGAGCTCACAGTACGGGCCAACTCAATATTGTGATAGAATGACGAAAAAAAACTCAACGATATTTTTTAAATTTTTATGGCTGATAATAATCGTACCTAAAATGTACCTTTCAAAAAAGGTTGGTATACAGAGTATAGTTATATTTCAAAATTCTTGGAGATGTTCCCATGATACAAAATATCAACAGGGAAATTGATAAAAGGACAAACTTGACGGTAAGTACACTTTGTTATTATAAAAGTAATTGTACCATACGAAATATAATTGAACCATGCTAATTTCGAATTGTACCTCACTGAAACTAATTGTACCATGCTAATTTCGAATTGTACCATGGTATTTTCGAATTGTACCTCACTGAATCTAATTTTACCATGCTAATTTCGAATTGTACCATGCTAATTTCGAATTGTACCTCACTGAAACTAATTGTACCATGCTAATTTCGAATTGTACCTCACTGAATCTAATTGTACCATGCTAATTTCGAATTGTACCTCACTGAAACTAATTGTACCATGCTAATTTCGAATTGTACCTCACTGAAACTAATTGTACCATGGTATTTTCGAATTGTACCTCACTAAATCTAATTGTACCATGCTAATTTCGAATTGTACCTCACTGAAACTAATTGTACCATGCTAATTTCGAATTGTACCTCACTGAAACTAATTGTACCATGGTATTTTCGAATTGTACCTCACTGAATCTAATTGTACCATGCTAATTTCGAATTGTACCTCACTGAAACTAATTGTACCATGGTAATTTCGAATTGTACCATGGTATTTTCGAATTGTACCTCACTGAATCTAATTGTACCATGCTAATTTACAATTGTACCTCACTGAAACTTAGGCACACAAAATTTCAAGAAATTCCGATTATAAACGAAAAAATTTCATTTTCACAAAATTGACACATTTTTCAAAAAAAAAAAAAGTTTTCTCTCTAGAAATTGGATCTTTTGTATGGGAGCCATACTTATTTTTTATCCGATCGTCTTGAAAATTTAAGGAAGTTATTTTCTATCGAAAAAAATAAGGCACACAAAATTTCAAGAAATTCCGATTATAAACGAAAAAATTTCATTTTCACAAAATTGACACATTTTTCAAAAAAAAAAAAAATTTCTCTTTTAAAAAAAACATTAAGTATGACTTCTGGACGAAAATTGGACTTTTTTTCATAGGTAACCCTTATTTTTTTCGATAAACCAAAGTCGCTCAAAATCTAATGATTTCTATTCCTCGCGACCCCCAATCATCCTGTTAAGTCAGATTGTAGATAACTTTTTTGGGGGGAGAGTTATTGTGTTAACAAATTTTGCGTACGGCGGACAACTTACAACGTACAACGTGGAAGCGACCCACAACAACCATGCTCAAAACGGCCTCATTCTGGTTCTCTGACTTCAGAAACGTCCAGAAAACATATTTTTGAAGTGTCGTAAATTTTGACCCATTGCAATACTTTCCCCTTACACACTAGGTGTGTGCGGAAAAGTAAAAACGGATTACGAAATCATTGCGTTTAAAAATGATATACAGCGACGAAGTCACGAATTTGGTGAAGGGTATGTGATGGAATTTTTATTCTACATTGGAATACATACGAAATAATATTACTATTGTATGTATAACCATTTTTTTGTATTCAAACTAATGTTACATCAACAAATTTACCCATCCACATTTTTGTTCGAAAAGAAACGTTTATACAGGGTGTCCCACGAACTAGGCGCACCCCCTAAATTTAAAAATTTTAAAAAACGCTTTGGGGGGTATGTTGGGGGTAAAAAATAGAAAATTTCTATCGGAGCAGAATTTTGAATTTTTCCCCAGGGGGGTTGGGGGTGCCCCCAATTTTACAAAACTTCATCTGATCAAAAAATAATGTACTGCAAAGTTGTTCAAAATGACGAGAGAAATTTTTTAGGACCCCTGCCCTCCAAGTC